GTGATTACTGAAGAGAATATCTTGAAGCCAGAACCTTCTCTCTCTCTCTCTCTTTTTTTTTTTTTTTTGCTAGTCCTGGGGGCTTGAACTCAGGGCCTGGGCACTGTGTCCCTGAGCTTCTTTTGCTTAAGGCTAGCACTTTACCACTTGAGCCACAGCACCACTTCCAGCCTTTTCTGTTTATGTGGTACTAAGGAATAGAACCTGGGGTTCCATTCATGCTAGGCAAGCATTCTACCATTGAGCCACATTCCCAGCCCCAGAACCTTCAAATTTTAACAAGGCAACACATTCTTTATGTGAAACATATTCATAATTATGAAAGGAATGAAGTTCCTGCTCTGGCTGGGTATACATGCAGCTTTTTATACAATCTAAATGATCACCATACATTAACAGCTCTGATTGGGTAACTTTTCTCATGAAATCTTTCCAAAACATACTAGATAACCATAAAAGAGGAAGAGTCTGTAGCCTTGTGCAACATCACCAGTGTTCCTAAAGCTTTCCACTGAAATCTCTGCTTTTAAAATTTCTCCTGTCTCAGTCTGGGAAGGTGGCTCAGTGGTAGAGTGCTTGTCTTGCATGCATGAGGCCCTGAGTTCGATTCCTCAGCACCACATAAGCAGAAAAAAAAAGCCGGAAGTGGCGCTGTGGCTCAAGTGGTAAAGCGTGTTAGCCTTGAGCTGAAGAGCTGAGGGACAGCACCCAGGCCGAGTTCAAGCCCGTGACCGGAACCCTCCCCCCCAAAAAAAAAAAATTCTCCTGTCTCCTGATTTCTATGCAACCGAGTAATTTAGATGATTCATTTTAATCCACTTTTCTATACTCTGTACTGAATTTTCTGCTTTTATCTCTTGGGTTACAAATGTTTCCAAAGACAAAAAAAAATTGGCATCTACTTTTAAACTGCCTACATCTTTGAAGACAAATGACCAACTGTTACCTTCAAACAAAATAATTTCAAGAATTCTGGTTTGGATCTTATTCACTATAAATCATCTTGATGGATAGTCTGCCTCACCCTCAAATCAATTTATGATGTGCAAAAATAATACCTATCTATATGCATGCTTATACACACATACAATCATGAATGCATACACCTTTTTTTTCAATCCTAATAATTTACCTTTCCTCCCTACCTATAAACAACATACATACCCTCTTCAACTGCCCAATAGAACTCATTGTTCACTTAACACACTCATTTTTCCATTTTCTGTTACACAACTTACCCAGGATTCTTTCGTGATATCTTTTGACATTATCTTTTGATCCTCTACAATGACCAATATAATTTGAGCACTTGATCATAATACTTGGAACAGCCTTTCTGCTTACCATCTCTTTCTTCCCTCCCAAGAATTCTTAACACTGTTGATGGATGAAATCTTTCTAAAATACTACTTTAGAGTAACCAGTCTTACTCAAAAGTGGTTTACCGGGTGAATAACAATACTAAATATTTTTGTTATTTAAGGGCCTTCAATGTGCTTGCCCGTCCAATTGATCTTTTCCAATGTGTGTGTGCGTGCGCACGTGTGTGTGTGTGTGTGTTTGTGTGTGTGTGTGTGTGTGTACGCCAGTACTGTGGCTTCAATAATTCAGCATCTGGGGACTGATCTTTACTCAAGGCGATCATTCTACCACCTGAATCATAGCTCCCCTTCTGAATTTTTTGATAGTTTTTTGGAGATAAGAGTCTCACAGAATTTCTTGCCCAGACTGGCTTCAGACCTCCATCATCAGCTCTCCGCCTCTGACTATCTAGGATTATAGGCACAAACCACCTCTATTCTTTTTTCTTTTTTTAAGAGAGAAACGAGGTGTGTGGGGGGGAGAGATATGTATGGTATGTGGGAGGTCCCTCTGGGAGTGCAGATCAATGGTAAAATATTTGCTTACCCCCCAGAAGGCCTTGGGTTCAAAAAAGTACCACAAAATAAAACAAATGAATTCTTTCCCTAAATTTCTCTTAAGTTACCCACTGCCATACTTCCAAAGAGAACTGGAACTGTAGTAAAAGCCAAATTGGCTTTTACTACAACTATGCTGATATAATTCTTGTACTTTTCCAGCTACAAAGCAAATATTTAAGCTCCTTATTATGCTTGGCCACAGCATGCCATTCACAATTTGGTCTTACCTTTCATCATCCCTTCTAGCCACCCCTAGACTCAATAGGCGCAACCCACAACAATCTATTAGATTTCCTCTAACACTTTGTGTTAAACACTCTAACTTGCTTTGGCAGTAACTCCTGACAGCTGTGCTCTACTTGACTGTTTATAACACAGATGAAATATCTCTTCTGTGGAATTTCCCCCCACTCTCAAAAACATCTTTGTTCCCAGCAAACTTTTATGTAGTTCCCTAAAAAGGACTCATAACATAGCTCAGTAATTACCTCAAGTGTTGATATGTTCAGAATCTAACATACATTGGGGCACCAAGCAGACAATTAAAAATGGGTTTTATGTATCTGTAGTGATTTGGAATGAACCCAGGGCCTGGCAAATGTGAGGGGAGTCCTCTACCAGTGATTATATCTCAAGCCCAAGAATGAGTTTGAGAAGACCTATTAAGAAAATGGTAATATTCTATGCATGTTACTTAAGTATTCTATATGACAAAGTAATATTATTAAAGTTATAAGCTTAAACTCCAAAGCCAATCTAAGTACAAATTTAAGATCTACAACTTGTTTGATGGGCAAGTTAATTAACCTTTCTGTGCTGGGGTTTCTCTTTGTGTAAAAGAGGATAGGATCTATCTCATAAGATCTTAGATAAAGATTAAATGCATTGGTATGAGCAAAACACTCAAAAAGTAACTGGCAACAAAACCCACAAAATATGTATTAATTTTTATGACTATACCTTAGTTATTTTTCTTTTTCCATTTGCTGGTCCTTTACATAGAATATTCTCCATTTTTGTCCTCCATTCTCTATTATGAATAAGCTCTCTCTCCATTTTTGTTTATCAAAATCTTACCCAAGCTTCAAAGCTGACCTCTGGTAAATCCTTGATGATTCTCATCAAAAGATCACTCTCAAACTTAAATATCCATAGCATTTTCTGTATCACAATATATTGAATAAAAATTGCCTTGTATCCACATAATTTTTTTTTAACCGTTAAGTTTGTCAACTCAATTTTTATAAACTCTTTGAAGGTCTTAATGACATCCCAGACATGTCTGTGAGGTCCTACAGTAGGCTACGAGGTTAGTATTTATTGCATAAAATAACATCAATAGAAACCTCAGCTCTGAGCACAGTCAGCAATCAAAGATACAGGGGAATCTGTGAGAACTCTCCATGCTTCTCTAGAAACCAAACTGCAAATGTTTTAGAGCCAGGGAATTCTGACACCCATTAAAATGGCAAGGTCTGAAGTAGCTTCTAAAGGAAAAGCCCCTCCCTACCTCTGTAGAGAAGAGAAGCTGCAGACAGCAATTAACTCCCCAACTAAACTGCAGCATTGGATTCTCCTGAGAAACGTGTCAGATATTTGTGAAGACAGGATTTGTAGTCACCAGGTCAAAGTGACAAGGGACCTTGAGTTTGTTTCCTTCTTTACAAAGTGGAAAATATAAAACTCACTTTACTGGTATGTATGTAATCAACAGTCGTCATAGTATTTAACAAAATGTCAAAATACCCATAGGAAAAAAAATTTAATAAAATGAAAATACTGCAAGTCATAAATAAAAATGAGAACATGGTTGGTTGCGTAAGAGTGTGTTGTATAAAATTAGCTGACAGTAGTATTTATGAGAAACTTAAGGCAGTTGATAATTCAGACTTGAGAAGAGGGAAAAATTGTACAAAGTTTATTTTTCCTTTTTTGACGCTTTCCCTTTACAATTTTTCTTTCACTTGTGATAAAAGAATAAATGCCCCCTCCCCGGCAAAATATTTGGAAAGCACTATTTAATTTAGTATCCAGGTGGCTCTACAAATGCACTATTCCCATTTATAGTTCAAAGATACTTCCAAATCCGTATTAAGATAAATTTAGGAAATCAAGATAATGGTGAACGGCTCACATAATGATCTGAGTCAATAATTTCAAATTAAGAGTTGTTCCAACTTGAAGCTGGCAGTCACACACAGTCTAAAGGGTTTGTTTACAGCATTGACTAAACCAAATACCTCAACCTTTCAGAAGATTCATCCTGCCATTCCAATCCTTAATTTGTGCTGAAATGCCCACCACTATACACATTATGCCAAAATGAAGTCGTCTTTTAAAAAAAAAAGAAGAAACAAAAAGCACAACAGTGGCGTCTGATTTTTAATTTGTGACACTGATTTTTGTTTGTTTGGGATTATGAATAAAATGCTGTTCGTGGTCGCAAGACCAGAATTTTGCTTCTTGGGCAAACCTTTCTTTAGGCGTGTTACTACAGAAGGATGGTTCCCCATGGGATACGTGAGGTGGGCGATTTATTAGGAGCGGCGTGTCTTAGAAGAAACGCTAACGGGTGTACGGAAAGCATCGCCAACTCTCGGCAATACCTACACGTTACAGCTGAAGGCTGAAGAGACGGTTCTGGGGTCCGAGTAAGACACGAAGGAAGAGCGGGAGTCAAGTGCGGGGCTCGAGTCTCGTAAGTGCAGATGGAAGGGGGCGAGGGAGCCGGCCTGGGATCTGGGAACCGGGGGGGGGGGGCGATCGACGGTGAGGGGCCTGGGCCGGGGGTCGGGAGGAAGGAGAGCCCCCGCGAAAGGGTGTGCAGGGTGGGAGGAGGGCACCCGGGGTGGAGATCCCGAGGTGACAAAGTTGGAGAAGTCGCCTTGGGCCGGAGCCGGGAGCGGCGGGAGGACGGAATGCGGGGATTTCCAGGCGAGGACTGACACGTTCGGGACGAGCGCGCGGCCGGAGGGGCCGTTCCGGTGCCGGGGGGCCGCGCCGCCCCGCGCCGCCCCGTCGGGGCCCGCGCGCTCCCGCTACACGGCCCTCGCTACACCCGGCCCGGGGCCTCCTCACCTCAGGCCGCGGCGCCTCGATTCACCCCGTCGCCACGATCCGCCGCCGTATCGCGTCCGTGTCCCTCTCGACGGCCGGCCGGACCCGTCCGCCAGGCGGGCGCGTGGCCCCCCCCCCCCCCAGCTCCGCTGTGTCCGAGCGATACCCCGAACAAGGCTTCACGGGCCTCAGGGCCACTCACTCGCCGGGACTCGCAGACCTTTCTCCGCGGTCACCACGCACCGCCCTCCTCTCGCCACCGCTGGGAGCTGCGCTCCCCCCTCAACCCCGCCCCTCGGTGCCCCGCCCCCGGTCGGAACACCTGTGCGTTGATTGGCTCCGGCGAGTCCCTACGCATCCGATCATTGGCTCAGCCTCCGCCGACGACGAGGGGGCGGGGCCCCGAGCAGCTGCGATTCCCGTAACGCGACTCCCGGCATCCCGGATTCTGGTGGCTGAGCCCTCGTCGCCTCTCCCAGACGAGATCGAAGGGTCGCCCCCACCTCCTCCCCGCGGGCGGAAGGAGCGGAATGTTCCATGTTTCCGTGGAAGAGCGGGGTCGTGAACTGCCCCCCGGGTGCTGCCCGCGCCTCCCGCCCTGCCTTGTCTCCGGGGAGGCCGAGCCCGTCAGCCCTCCCGGAGGGGTTCGGAGCCGCTGGGGCGCCGCGCTCCCCGGAGGCCGCGGGAGCGCCCTGGGGACCGCGAGGACTGGGCCGCTGTGGCTGCTCGGGAGACGCCGCAGGTTGCGGTGGCGGCTTTGGTCCAAGTCTCATGAAAACGAACCTTACCCCTGTATGCTTTTTTTTTGAAGTTAGTAAATGAGTTTGGAAGAGATCGATGGATCTCTGACCTGGTGACCTGCCAAGGAACTAGTGTTTCTGTGGCTTGCACCTCCCGAACTGTGATTAAAAAACAAAGTCAAAAACAGAAAACCTAGTTAAAGGCCGATTTCAGTGTAATTCACCCCCCCCCCCCCGCCCCTTCCCTCTTCCTCTCTTCTGAAAAATGAATCTGAAGTCTCACGTTACTGTGTGTGAGTTTTCCAAAGCAAGCTGAGATGCCTAGGATACTTTCAAGAGGTGTTGTAGCTGAAAGAAATAATGAAGGATGAAGGCCATTGACTTCTAGAGGGAATGGCAGGCAAGAGCGATAATAATTTAGTGAACAATTTATAGGGTAAATTCAGACAATTACAAAGTCCTTTGTTACCTTGAGAATTGGGATGGACCAAAACATCAAAATTAAGGTACTGGAACCTTGCTTCCTTTCTCTCTCCCCTGCCCCCCTCCCCCTCTTCAATGTTAGAGGAGGAACACAAGGCCTCACACATCCTAGGCAATCCTATCACTGAGACACATCTTCAGTTCTAAGATCGTTAGGATCCTTTAGCTGTTGACCAGGTAATTTTGGAAAGACACAGAAAAAAGAATCATCAGGCAGGGCTGAGAAGAGCGGTTGCCTATGTATGAAGCCCTGGTTTAGATTCCTCAGTACCACATAAACAGAAAAGCCAGAAGTGGCACTGTGGCTCAAGTGGTAGAGTGCTATCCTTGAGCAAAAGTTTAGGGACAGGGCTCAGGCCCTGAGTTCAAGCCCCAGGACTGGCAACAACAACAACAACAACAATAGAAGTATCAGGCAGATTTAGGGATGGTGTTGCAACTGCAAATAACCAGCAGAAGGTGACCAGGCTGTATTCTGTCTTTGCCATTTGTTAGAGGTGTTTGTTTTAAAAAATAAATTTCGGGCTGGGAAGGTGGCTCAGTGGTAGAGCGCTTGCCTTGCATGCATGAAGCCCTGGGTTCGATTCCTCAGCACCACATAAGCAAAAAAAAAAAAGCCGGAAGTGGCGCTGTGGCTCAAGTGGTAGAGCGCTAGCCTTGAGCTGAAGAGCTGAGGGACAGCGCCCAGGCCCAGAGTTCAGGCCCCACGACTGGACCCAAAAAATAAAAAATAAAAAAAATAAAAAATAAATTTCCATGGAAATTTCATATATATCCAGCTAACATTTGTTTCAGGGCAGTGTACAGGATAATATGTACAGGATAATATGTACATGTTTTCATATTGCTAAGTTTGAATCCTGGTATTGGCACTTCCCATCTCTGTGACCTTGGGAAAGTCTTTACAAATTCTTCATCTGCAAAGTTAGAATAATGGTACCCACCTGATAGGATTAATCCAGGGATTGAATGACTTGAAAAGTAAAACAGGTTTATCAGGACACATCAGTTGTTATTGTCATTGAGTGTCTCAAATGTCAATGCTTCTCAAAACTTTGGCATCACAAATATATTTTAAATGATTATATTTTTCAGCAGTGAGGTGGGTAAGAAGAAATCACTGTCTTAGAACACACTAGTCTATCTTGACACACGCCTCAGGAAAGCAAAGGTCTAAGTCCTATTACTCATAGCCACAGTTCTATTAACCTATGTTTATCTCATCAATATATGTGGGTGTCTTTGTATTGGCTCAGCTCAGGCCCTGTCTCTAAGAAACTCACATTTTGGGGGTGGAGTGCAGTTAAAATCCTAGACAAGGGGCTGGGAAGATGGCTCAGTGGTAGAGTGCTTGCCTTGCATGCCTAAGGCCCTGGGTTCGATTCCTCAGCACTACATAAGCAAAAAGAAAAAAGCCAGAAGTGGCGCTGTGGCTCAAGTGGTAGAGCGCTAGCCTTGAGCTGAAGAGCTGAGGGACAGTGCCCAGGCCCAGAGTTCAGGCCCCATGACTGGACTCAACAATAAAAAAAAAAATAAAATAAAATAAAAAAAATCCTAACAAAAAGCATGAATCAATACTAGAAAAAGAGCAGCATGACAGCAGGAAAAATATACTCTGTTGAAATTACTCGACTTTGCAGACCTCTGTAGACTATTAGCCCTGAAATGACCACTTTCTGGTTAAGAATTTGTCATTAGAAAGGAACTCTGTTAAGGACTGCAATGAATGTATTTTTTTTTTTTTACTTATAGTTGTGGTATCTTGTGGATTAAATCGGATCAATAGTAAATACTGGGATGGAAGAAAGTAAAGAAAGAAAGCAGAGGGGAGGGAAGAAAAGGAGAGGGTAAGGAAGAAGAAAAGGAAGGTAAAAAGGAAGGGAGGGAGGAAGGAAGGAAAGGAGAGAAGGCACAAAGGAAGGAAGGAAAGAAGGAAAAAAAGGAAGGAAGAAAGAAGAAGGAAGGTTCTAGGTGAAGGGTAAACAAAGGAGGAGGCTGCAATGCTTGGTAAGAAATGTATGCATTATCCTGCCCATGTAATTGTAACCCCTCTGTACAGTGTGTTCTCAAATAAAATAAAATTAAATTAAAAAAAAATAAAAAGAAGAAGGAAGGTTCTGTCAAAATTCACAGGTAAGTGGAGAAAAGGAATAGTAGTGCATTCTCTCCATTGATGGCCATGGCCATTTGGGACTTTATGTTAAGAGCGGGGAGTGGGTCACCTGTGCAGTGACAGGACAATAACAAGGAGTTATTTGGGAGTAGGTGAACATAAGAAAAAGCATGATAGATCAAAGGTGATAAATGTTGCAGGCAAAGTGTGCCTGCTTTTCTATTTATCTAGATCTGGCCATGACCAGGAGATCCATTGACTTCCTTGCTTGTGTCCAGTCCTGTTTTGGAAACTAACCACACGTCCTGCATCAGTGTAATGATTCTGGCATCCCAGTTGATGACTGGTTTGACACCTTGATCTCACAGTGTCTCATCTTTTTCTTTTCCCATGGTCATCAACTTTTTAGAAACCACCCCCAGATGAAGCCACGCCTTCAGCATAGTCATTGAATGAAATTACTCCACCTCTAAAATTTTGAATGTGTTTCCTTCTCTGTCCCAGAGCCACTTACTCTTCTACTTCCTTTTTGAGCTGACTGTCACTGAGTCTGCAATTTGTCCTCAGCTTGACCTCCATCCAGTCTTTGTTCTCATAGCTTATCAGCTATTTCCTATCTTCTCTTGTGTCCCTAAGCAGTGGGAACTGTCAACCATATAAATTGTATTCTCATTGGTATCTCCCCTTGAACTTCAGCCATGTTTATGAACCTATTTCCTAACTACTCATCTCCTTGAATTATTAACCTTACCCTAGCATTTATTCTTAGTACAGAAATGTGTTCCAAGATCCCCAGAAAAACATTATGACTATCATTTTTGAGCATCTTTGTCTTCTCTCCAACTTAGGATCCAACTACTGCATATATTTCCTTTTTTTTTTTTCTTTTTTTGGGTCTGGTCGTGGGGCCTGAACTCTGGGCCTGGGCGCTGTCCCTCAGCTCTTCAGCTCAAGGCTAGTGCTCTACCACTTGAGCCACAGCGCCACTTCCGGCTTTTTTCTTTTTTCTTATGTGGTGCTGAGGAATCGAACCCAGGGCCTCTGGCATGCAAGGCAAGTGCTCTACCACTGAGCCACCTTCCCAGCCCTACTGCATATATTTTCCTTCTCTTCCTTTTCCTTCTACTTCAGAGAAAGAAAGGCCTATTAATTTAAAAGTCCAGTCCCACATTTTATATTTTATATTTTTGTTATTAACATTAAATACCTTAAGGATTTTAAATTAAATATTAGCCCACTAGTGAGTTATAGATAGCTTCTCTGTCTTAAAATCTTTGTAAACCAACAGCATCTAATTCACCAGACAAAATTTGAAGTAACCAAGTATAAGTCTCAAAATGAAGTAGTTTAGAAATTATAATCCACCAGATAAAATGAGTTGAGATGAACTATGAATTTAAATCAAGTTATGACTAAAGTTCCAAGCAATCAAACAGACAAAATTAATACCAGCACTTGAGATGCTGAGGCCAGAGATCTTAAGTTTGAGGCCAGCAAACTATTTCAACTACCTTCCCTCCCCCCCAAAACTAGCAAAAAATCATTTCAGAGAAACAAAACTAAGACACATGAAGACTAGCATTTCAGAAGTTTTACTAATAATACAGATTAAAAACATGAACAAACCAGAATATGGCTTGAAAAAAAATTCCACAAACTGGACATATGTGATAAGTAGTATCTAGTGTAAGGTCCATTCCTGGATGGTGAGCAGACCCTGCTCAGTATCCACATTACCTAGACAACTGGGACACCTGGAAGAGGTCACATCTGCATCCGATGAGGTCACATCTGAGTCTGATGTGGCCACACCTTTCTCCCACTAGTCCCACCTCTTACCTGGTCTCACTTCCCTTTACCTGGACACACCTTTCCCCGCCCCTACCCTATGTAAGGCCTAACCCAGGGCCAGACGCTCCCTTTTGCCA